CTATGTCTCTTCCTGATGAGATTTATCATTCAGTGATGAAACTCAAATCTTCTAAATCCGTATGGGATACTCTTTGTGTCCAATATGAAGGAACCACTCAGGTTCAAGAGACTAGAAAGATCAATTTAGTAAGACAGTATGAAAGCTTTCTCTGTGGAAAGTCTGAGACGCTGTCTAAACTACATCAAAGATTTAATTTCCTTATTATTGATCTAAGGGCTGTCGGTAGGGAGTACTCTAACTCTGAAACCTTGACAAAGTTTCTAGAATGTCTTCCTGARTCTTGGGATACCTTTTCCATGTGTCTCAAGCTGTCAAACGACATGTCCACTCTTTTTCTTTCTACTTTATACGGAATTCTGCTTAACCATGAGCAATCTCGTCAACTAAAAGGAAATCTTGTAAAAGAATCCAGGGAAATGAAAAGCTCTTCTTTAGCTTTGATCTCTGAAAGCTCCTTTGGTTGAAACCTCTACTACTTTTGTTTCTTCTCTACCTCCCGTAGTCATTACGGAGATGCACTCTTCTGAGGACATTCCAGAATCTGCTCTTTCAGATTTTGATGAGTCCCTCGCACTCCTAACCAAGTCATTTAGGAGGTTTGCCAATAAGAGTAAATTCCGCAGGTCTCCTCAGCTATCCCTAAGGGAAAAGCCAAAGTYTGAAAGAATAGACAAGGCTTCAGCTGTCTGCTACAATTGTCACCGACCAGGTCACTTTGCAGGTGAATGCAGATCTAAGAAGACTGTGACGCCATCTTCCAAAGCTACTTCATCCTCCAGGACTGTAGATGAGAAATATTCAAAACTGAAGGAGAAGTATAAAAAGATGAAGAAAAACCAGCAAAAGTCCAAWGGTCTTRYTGCTGAAGAGCATGATTGGGTTGAATCATCTGAAGAATCATCTTCTGATGAAGAAGATAAAGTCTACATCTGTCTGATGGCTATAAATGCTGACGAAGGAACTTCTGAAGCATCCACCTCCTCAGAGCCATCTTCTTCCTCTTCTCA